ACGGACGGCGGATGTTCGAACATTCGAGAGGTTACGAACATCGCGGCTGCTCGAGGAGGATGTCCTCCAGGTCAAGTTCGCGTCCGTCGGGCATTGACGTTGACACCGTGAGACCCTCGATTTGCGCGCGCTTAGCTCGCCGCGCGGCCGCGACGGTCTTCTCTACAGAGACCCATGACCTGGATGTGGCGGCCATCACACCAAGGGTGTATGTCTCTGTCGACACGTCGCCGCCGTCGCGCGACCTCGAGTCACCGCACCCCTAGCTCGCCGTGCGGCTAAGACGTGAGCCCGCCCCGATCTACAACTTCCCGGCAATCCACAGGAGTCTGCGTTATCGCGATAGGGTACCCGCACATGATCTACTGTTCTCGTCCAACGCTCAACCTCAATTATCAACAAATCGATCTCGAAGATCTTCTCAGCTTCTCATTCGCTGGACTGTATAGCGACCGAGCGCCTCCGAGTCTATCCTGTGCGAAAGTTCTTACTCCGTTGTCAACTACCATGTCGGATAGCGAGTCTGAGGCAGATTTCGGGCTACGCATGCCGGAGGCTCAGATACTTGAAGGATCTGGGGCGTCCGTGCCCTCCGATGTGTGTATCTCATCCAATTCCGATGCAATCTGACTTATGCAGTCATGCAGGATGAGGTGTGTGACTTAGATCGCCTATATCCTCGGAGCTACTACCACGTCGACGCAAATGGGAAGCGCACGGTGGTGACCTTGCCCGATCCGTGAGTTCATTGCAGACCTGGATATCCTGGACTTGACTCAGCCGATCTTAGGCATCTCCTTCCCTGCGCTATGGAGGCACTCTCTCGCGTTTTCGCAGCACCCGTCTCCCCCAATCTCGCCACTATCAGAACCGCTCTAGCGACACTGGATGCGATAGACCGTGCAAGCACGACGTGGACCTCCTTGGATGATTTTGTGCGGCAGGAGATGGTCCCCGGTGGACTGCTCCGGGCATACAGCCGCCTGCGGGATATGAAGAAGTTCGTCGTCATCCAAATCATTACATCTATTGCATCTAACAACCACTGATTTACAAGATACCAGCAAGATGTCGTACGACTCACGATGCAAACGGCTGTAGAGATCCCACGGATCCCTGGACGGACGAAATGGGTGGTCGGACATCCTCAAAGACCCGACGAGCCGGTCAACTATTATCCTCCCTTCATCCACGATGAACATGGACAGGAACTGCCGTACGATTGCCTGTACGTCCAGCCCACGTCGGCGGGCGATCGTATTGCAAGAGTCTGGCGGCCGTTAGCTGGTGGCGGGTGGATGGAGGCGAAGCACGGTCATCCGCACCCTGACTACAACGGGTATCGGCTCAACCTTCACGTTGAGGGTCTGAAGCCATGTTGGGTCCCAGAAGCAATGTTGCCGTTGGCTCTCCATGACCAGCCTTATTACATATAAGTAACGATGTGTACGACGATACATAGTTCTTCCGTGCAAGGACTCGTGATGGAAGATTGTGTATAGATGATATGTATCGACCTAGAACACCGCATTTGTGCCGACGGGGTATGTTCGCGGGATGGAGGAACGGGAGCTTAGAGGGAATATCAGGGGGCGAGCGTTACGTGCAAGTTATCTCTGGTTTACGATTAGTTGAAGAATCAGCATTAGGTACTGTGTACGCACGATCCTAGCCTTGATCCACCCTCGGGTATGCATCCTCTGAATCACCTTTCAATCTCGCAAGATAAGGGCATGCTAGGCATGCCGGACTCTGGATCTGGTATACCGGGCGTGTAAGATTGCGGATGTTCGAACTTGGCACAAGAACACAGCCAATGAGCCTCGAAAACGTCAATAGCAATCGTCTGGTGATAGAGAAGTCCAGTATGCATGCACCTCTATCCGGTTCCCGTCCGCGCACTACTCTAAGATTCATCCAAACATGCCGGACTCTCGATGAGCCCCCGCTCGGCGTGTGACAGGAGTGTTCGAACTTCGCGCAGGGCGTGGTGGGCGTGAGGGGTGCGTGTACGGACAAGGCACGGTACACAACACATGGCGGCCACACCGCGATACAAATATTGACCGGTCTCCGCGGTCTGGTATGCAGTCGTGGTATATAGAGAAGACCGTCGCGGCCGCGCGGCGAGCTAAGCGCGCGCAAATCGAGGGTCCCACGGTGTCAACGTCAATGCCCGACGCGAACTTGACCTGGAGGACATCCTCCTCGAGCAGCCGCGATGTTCGTAACCTCTCGAATGTTCGAACATCCGCCGTCCGTGATGTTCGAACATCCACGACGTTCGAACATCCATGATGTTTGCACGTTTCCGATGTTACGCTGTGTACTGGGCCAGTACACGCTGAAATCACGCTGAATTCTTTGACAAAGGTTTAACCATGTTCGAGACCCGGCCAGGGTAAACTCATTTTAGTGTTCCAGTTCGGAACATGATATCGAACATGCTTAATTCTTTCTCAAGAATTTCACTGTTTTCGAACGCGGAATAGGCACAAATTTTTGTCCATGAATCTAGGCTATCTTAACCATGTCCGCGCTCGGATAAGTGACCGATGCCTCCAGTGTGTGACGCTCCCAAGCACAGCCAAGCACGAGCCCCGACTGTGCTGACGTCGCTTGCCAGATTCACCACTTGCTTCGAAGTGAACATGCCTGACTCTCCTGGAATCGATGCACCATCGTTGTCCTGCTGTTATGCACCACAAACACTCAATGACTCTGCTGATCTCAGCCACTCAAGCGCGATTGCCCTACCACGCCCGTCACGGCATCCCGACGGATAGGTTGCGTTGACGATGAGTCTGGGAAGTCGTTGATGCTCTTCCTACCTACTGGGTGTTGGCTGGCGAGATGGGCACCTTGCGCCCCGGGTGCTCTAATTGACGGAAGTCGGAGTGCAATTTAGAGGCAGCCTGATAGTATTGGCTCTGCACCTTATCAGGGCGAGACCTACTGGCTGTGTCATTCGGGTCACATAGATGCGTCAGGGTTCTGCCGCGAATACCATCGAAAGCGAATATGCTCAGCACGGTGTGTGTTGTTCCCAAGAGTGTGAGAAGAAGCCTGGCTCATGACTTCTTTGCTGTCGCAGCTGACCAGGAATCGTCGCTCTCGCACGATACAGACGTGGCCAGCGACTGATTTAAAGTCTACGACCTCGCAGATATCCTCGTAAGTTTCCCGCTCACATCAGTGCATTGTAAATTGGAATGGATTCTCCCGTCACAGGTCCTGTGGAGGTCCCTATATGGCTTAAACTACAGTTGATGCTTGCAATCCGTACGTCTAGAATCGCCTGACGGGAACACAATCATTGATAGTTTGCCTAGCTATTGCCGTGATCCGGGGTGTGTTTTCTAGCACTAATTCACACCGCTCTTGGAAGCGCGCTGTACACATATCCATGCTACGAGAGCTGCTGAAGCGCCTCTCTCGCACCGAGCCTCGCATCGCGCAAACGGTAGTCGGGGGATCAACTGGCAACACCTATCGAGCGTGGGCTACGGCAAATCGGCAGCCCATCACGTCGGACAGGATCGAAGATGATGGCTACCTTCATTGGGTTGGGGAGAAGCAGTTGTCCAACGTGTTGTTATTCTTTCATGGTACGAATGACGTGTCATTGGGATTGTTGTCACGACCTGAAAACCTGCATAGGTGGGGGATACACGTTCCCCGCATCGGCTGACTGTCTTGATGCTATACTGGCACTGAAAGAGGATACTTATGCTGCCATCGATGGTCTAGGAATTGCGGTACTTGAATATTGTGAGGATAATTGACTGTCCGGTTCTATGCGAACTTACATCAACATGGTGATTATAGCGCTGGCACCCAAAGCGTCCTTCCCATCTCAACTGCGTCAGGCAATCGCTGCTCTAGCCTACCTCCTTGCACAAGGCACAAAAGCTTCTAACATCGTCCTTGTCGGCGACTCTGCTGGTGGCAATCTCATATTGCAACTTGTCTCACACATTCTGCACCCCATGGCCGGCCTTCCACCACCACCTATACTATCGAAACCGCTTGCAGCCATCGTCCTCGTGTCCCCGTGGACATCTTACAGCGACGATTACCGCTCATTCAAGCACCAGCAAACGTCCGGGAATAAGTAAGTAGGTACCTGTTGGCACCTCGCATTATTTATCCGGATGCTCCGATCGGATCAAAATTGACTGTGGCCGGCACTGATGTTCAACCAATAGAACCCGCCAAATGCATGTTGCCCTGTTAGTTGGGCTTGCATTCTAGAGGCTATCATGCAAAAAGGACCTTCACTACCTAGCATATAGTGCACGACGTCGGCATCATGCATTTGGTTCTGGCTCCCGAAGGCTGGTAGGGACCTGCCCGGATCAGATGATATTTTCAACCCCCCAGGTTATTAAATGGCTGTATCGAGCGCGTCCCGGTTTTTAGACCCAGTTTTCGAAACGCTCACATTTTGTGCGACCTGAATTATTTATCACTCGGGACAGATACTTGCCGGATAGCCTATGGGGGGATTCTTTATCTCGTTTCCCAGGCCGCATTCTTTATCCTCCGTATTTTCGATCGGTCGAATTCTTAATGACCCGATTCCCCAAGATGCGGATTCTTAATCCGGAACAATATTTATCCCTAGCACCTCTTATTGCCTGGATTCTTTATGCTTCGGGTGGCGGGTTTCTTATGCACTCACACCACTAGGGGCCGACCCCATCTGGATCGGCCTGTACCCGTTCACGAATCCGACCTGCTTCACCGAAATCTCAGAAACGCGGGGATTAGAAAGAGGAAGTCGATTATGTCAACTTTCGAGTAGAAACGAAGAACCGTACATAGCACTCTTGACGTGTACAGCAGGGTCTCAAACAACACAGGTACAATATTCTAAGGCACAAACATAGTCCGACTATCGGTACGATACAAGACCAAACAATAATGAACCTCGCAAGCACGACAACCGACACGAAGAAAGGCGCGAAGCACCGTCCACTCGCGGCCGCTCGCCAGCACGAACAGCATGGGCCGACTTCGGAGCCCCGCGAGCGAGCACTACAGCGTCGCATGAGCTAGCGTGCAGCAGCTCGTGAAGGACACCATGCAAGCGCGTCTAGCGGATACGAGATTAGCAGTCGCTCACGCAGTCTGGCGACCGCTAAGCGTACCAAGGCCTTTGGCAATGTGGCGTCAATTCCAGCGAGGCATACCGTTCACAGCGGGTGAGGGCGCGGTGGCGTCGCGAACGAACGGAAAAAACGCTCAATGACAATTTGATCAGCATGAAGTCGCAGCGCACTCGATAGGCGACGTACCCAGACGGTATTGGAAGACGAGTCATGTCGAGCAGCTGTAAGATGCTCGTGAGCAACACGTCGACAGTAACGAGGACACGACGTACCTAATGACAGGGAGCGGGACGCAGGACCAACGCCAGCGCATCGGTGCCATGTAGCAGAAAACGTACGGCTACATGACATCGTTCAAGCCCGACGACAGCGACGGCGAGACAGACAGGAGGACCGCTGGGCGAGCGAGACTGCAGCGGAGATGATGGGGTAAGGAAAGAGAGATGTCACGACTTGTCGCGGCTGACGCCTCGGATCGGGAAGGCTCGGGATCGACGAGCTAATCGGCGTTCGCCGAGAATTCGGAACTCCCGTTGCGCGACTGCTTGTTTCTCGCTCCTCGTCATCAAGCTCGTCTCCATCGCCGCCGTTCCCGTCGCCGTTGGCTCGTGCGCCCAACGCTGGATCTCGCCCCGCCCGCCTGGACTCTGCTGCCCGACACCTCTCATGGTCATGGCTAGGTATCCAGGAGTGTGTACACCGCCTTGCGCGCGAGAGCGTTGCCCCACGTACGTTGCCCGCTCGTGCTCCTGGTCCCCGCACTAATTTGTCAAACACAGCCGCTGGTATTTGCTTTGCGACTCTCGACACGGGTGTTCAGAACGCCTCGACCTTGTGCGGCCATCTCTTTCGCGCGTTGGCCCGATCCTGTTTGGCTATTCCCACCTCCTTGTACCATTTCTCCCGTGTTCGATCGGGTTGCGCCCTTTGTATTCTGTGTACGTTCTATGTAACATTGCTTGTGTATATAATGCAATTAGCCTGTCTTGCCCGCTCGCGCCGTGTGGAGATATCCGCGTCCCTGAGTGAGGAGTCGGCCACGTGCTTACCCTGCCTCGATCTCTCCACGTTCTGCTTCTGAGGGTTGCTCGTCGTTTCAGGCGCGCCTGTCTTCGACCGCCATCACAGCACAATTTCTATCTGTTCTTCTGTGAAGCCATATCTTCACAGTCCCTTGGGCAGCTATTTACCAGCTGAGGCGTAATCTGGATTCATTGGTTCGCTTTCCGTATCTGTTGGCGACTCGTTTGCAAAGGAGAAGCAGAATGCAGCTGACTCTCTTGCGTGTAGATGTCTCGTACGTGTGGCATCCAGAGCATGTCAATTGAGCATCTAATGCTCATGTTCATACAAGCTTATAGAGACCACGGAGGCAACCGTCATCGCGGTACGCTGGCAACACTGACTATACGGGGAGTATGCGAATTCTTCCGCGCAATTTCCGAGGCGATGCCGGAGCTCTGGTCCCACATACAAACTGACTACGATCTGGCATCTGTGAGAACTGCGCTTAATCGTTCGCGGGGCCACTCGCACACTGTAGAGCTCAACGCTGAACAGTCTCCCTCACTCACGCACTTACTATGCAGCCCGGCTCAGACTCGTTCGAACTCGTGCCTAACTCAGACCTCGTTGTGAACTCGCTGAAGCTCAAGAAACGCTCCAGGGTGTGCAAACCTCGCAGACGACTAAGGTCTGTCTCCTTCCTCTTGATCGTCTCGCTTTCTCGCGCTGACGATATGATTTTCTAGTTGGAGGAGCAGAAACGCCTGAGGGACCGCAGGAAGGATCTACTGGCCGAAGTCTCCCAGCTCAGCAAGGGAACCTCGCACCGTCGCTCGCGTCTCGACGAGGCGCGTTCCAACCAGTCCCAAGGTCGCGGCGACAACCAGGTCCTCAACAGTCTGACTACGCTCGCGGGCTCAGGTCGTGTCGGCGGCTTCCACGGTCGTCTCGGCGGTCTCAGCGCGATCGACAGCAAGTACGACGTGGCGATCACGACCGCCTGCGGTGCGCTGAACAATATGGTCTGCGATACCGTTGAGCAGGCCACGCAGTGCATGGACTACCTCCGGACGAACAAGACCGGACGTGCAAACGTCATGGTGCTCGAGAAGATTAATGGCCAGCCGTCGGACGAGGCCACACCACTGACGCGCTTGTTCGACCTCGTCAAGCCCCGCGAGCCCAAGTTCGCAAAGGTCTTCTGGAAGGCGCTCGGCGACACGCTCGTGGCGGATAATATCGACCAGGCGAACAGTGTGGCTGTTGGCGGCAGGAAGCGCTCCCGCGTCGTTACGCTCGATGGACAACTGGTTGACTCGAGCGGTACGATGTCCGGTGGTGGCAATCCCGTCCAGCGCGGTGGTATGAGCGAGAAGTTCGCAGCGCAGGCAGTTTCGCCAGCGGAGATGAGCAAGCTCGAGAGGGACCATCAGGCGACTGCAGCTCAACTCCAGGAGGCTCAGTCACGATTGCGTGCGGCTGAGGCGAGGGTGGAGGCGCTCAGGCATGAGGGTCTGCAGTTGGGTAGGCAGCTGCAGATGCTCGAGGTCGACATACGCGACACAAACAACCGGCTTGAGGACGCCAGGAAGCGCGTGAGCAAGCTCGGCGCGCGGTCGAAGCCTGACGCCGGGGACCAGAAGTGGATCATAGAGCTTGAGAAGGAACACGCTCAGCTACTATCGTCGCTTGACAAGCTGCGGTCGAAGTCCGGCGCTATCGAGGCAGAGATCGAGGCGCTTAACGAGAAGGTCAAGGCTGCAGAAGGATCAAAGCTGCTTATGCAGCGTAGTAAGGTCGACTCAATCAAAAAGTACATCGACATTGCTACGCAGGAGGTCACCAAGGCCGAAGTCGGACTCGATAAGGCGAAGAAAGATGTCAAGCGGCTGAGCTCTGCCGCGCGCGGACACGATCAAGCCATCAAGGACGCCAAAGTCGAGGTTGAGGATCTCGCTGAGGCATCAGAGGAGGTCAGAGAGAAGGTCGTGGCTTGCGAAGAGGCTCTACGAGACGCGAGCGAGTGGCCTGACGGCATCCAGGACGAGCTACATGGTCTTAAACGGGACTTCGGCGAGAAGACTGAGGCGTTGCTGGCCTTCCGTAAGCGAGAGGTGCGATCTTTCTCTGTTCTGTGTTTTGAGACGATGGCTGACCATATCTGGGTGATAATCAGGAGAAGTACAAGCAGAAGCTTGAAGATATCGAGGGCAATCTCGCAGCTACGCAGGCGCTCATCGATGCTGATGAGGCCAAGCACGCCAAGCTGGTCCTTGAACATATCGAGTGCGTATTCGATGTAACCTTCGGTTGCGTATACCCTTGCTAATGAATATCGTAGCGATGACGAAGATGGCGATGAGGAGGAAGACGGCGAGAAGAAGGACGCGAGTGCCACCGAGAATATAGAAGGCGACAAGACTGAGAAGCGTGTCAAGCCCGATCCTGAGGACCAGACCGGCTCTGGCTCTGGCTCCAAGATGAATAGGTCGAAAGACCAGTTCCAAAAGGACGAGCGTGGCTTTGTTCATTATCCTGAGTCCCATCTCGCGAAGCGAAATCAGGGTTCCCTCCAGGCCAACATTCAGTCCCTTGAGGGTACGTTTCACCGTCTTCTCCTGTTGAATCTCATAGTTGGACTAACCACTTGGCGCTTACAGAGCATTTGGACAAGACCAAGCCAAACCCGGCGGTACTGAAAGAGTACCGCAGACGCGAGCTCGAGTATGATGATCGCGTGAAGCTCCTCGACGAGGCGACTGCTGCGCGCGACGCTCAGAAGGCTTTATATAATAAGCTGTCCACCACGCGTCTCGAGAACTTCATGAAAGGCTTCAACAACATATCGAGTAAGCTCAAGGAGATGTACCAGGTACGTTTGTGATGAGACCGGATACACGATGAGATGGATATTGACAAGGCGCGGTAGATGATCACGCTCGGTGGAAACGCCGAACTCGAGCTCGTCGACAGCATGGACCCGTTCTCGGAGGGCATCATCTTCAGGGTTATGCCCGCGAAGAAGAGCTGGCGCAACATCTCCAACTTGTCCGGTGGCGAGAAGACGCTGAGTTCGTTAGCGCTCGTCTTCGCCTTGCAAACGTACAAGCCGACGCCTTCGTACTTCATGGACGAGATCGATGCCGCGCTCGATTTCCGAAACGTGTCCATTGTCGCGAACTATATCAAGAATAGGACGAAGAACGCTCAGTTCATCATCATTTCCTTGCGGTACGTTCCCCATTTATATCTCAATGTTTCAGTACACTCATAGATGCCTGCCAGGAATGACATGTTCGAGCTCAGTCAACGGCTCATTGGTATTTACAAGACGTCCAACCAGACGAGAAGTGAATAACGATCTTGTCCTTGCACCCGGATGAGGCGTTAATCTCTTCTGTCAGGTATCTCCATCGATAATCGCAACCTGCATGCTTGAGCAATCTACCGAGTTCGAGCACAAGGCTACGACGACTGCGCGTACCAACTACTGGGACTCCGGCCTCAGTTATGATACAATTCCGACCATGGCGTGTAATCGGTACTCCAGTCCTATCCAAAGCCAGCTATAATCCGTGACATGAGTTTTCTTCGCAAAAGCGCTTCCTCCGTGCATATGATGACTATTTGCCTATAGCATATAGTCAACAAACTGGTAAGACGGTAACATTCGTTCACTCACTTGTGCGACTTGAGATAATGATACGCTCGACCACTGGCCTTCACAAAAGCCATAGAGGTCAGTCACTGACTCCAAAGCATCATTGCCGGAGAATTGTATCGATCGTGGTTCCACTTCAAGGTGTCGCGCCTCAGTTACCGCCGTAGGGTCACACGTCACGACACAAGAGACTATAGTCCGACGCAGCTCCGACCTGAGTCCGAAGCCGTTCCGAACGCGCAAAACCGTTCCGACTCATGGTGAACTCTGTTCCGACGCCACTCCGACGCAAGCCTTGGGCATCAGGATCCCAGCGCATTTTCGATATAGTATTGTGTTGCTTTTGATGTAGGATCGTAGCATAATACAAGCTCTAGGATCTTTAACAGTGAGCGATTGGCCCATCATGCGAAGCGACACAATATAATCCAGTTGATATTTCAGAGCAAGGATGTAACGCAGTAGCGGCATATACAGAATGAGCTGCTCGACAGTGGACATGGATGAGGACGTGTGATATCATCACCGACGGAGGGCTCGGTGTGCGCGTATAAGCAAGTCTGTGAGATCAAGCGTCGGCTGCGCCTGACCATCCGTTCGACCATCCAAGTTCGAACGGTCTAAATCTTTTGCCTGCATAGAGGGTGCTCCCACCTACAGACCCAGGGACAGATTTACCATTGCTCAGCGATCCTAACGAATAAATTAGACATCAATACTCTGTACTGTCGAATAAAAGCCCTCACCCATATGAGGACCACTGGACGCCAGATACTCAGGCCAAGACTGGAGGCGACCTTGCTTGATAAGTTCCTCTATGAGTCTGATGCGAGGGTTCATGGAACGCGCTGGGATATTCGACTCCGATCGGTGGGGATTCGTGGATTCGTAGACCCAATGTGACACCTCGCACTCCCCATCGCATCCTCCCTCCTGAGCACAAATTCGTTTTTTGGAGCATCGCCTTAGCCTCACACGACATGCCAGACATGCAAGTGACTTGTGGCCCTGGCCCTGTGAGGCACCGGCAGGCATCGGAGTTTTGACGCAGAGTGACTGAAAGCCAGCACAGTTCGCGCACGGAGTCTATGTACTTCATGAGAATGTGCGGCTATAAACCAGATGCCAACGTACTTCAAACGCCCTCACCCATTCGCGATCTATCCCGTGGAATTCAAAGAAATGTGCGAGATGGGTATCATCGATGGTAGTACCAGGAGGCATCACTTGTAGGGCGTCATATGGGTCGAACTGGAACCCGCCATCGCAGCCGCGTCCGCGGAGCATTAACGCTCGGGTATCATAGGGACTCCCGTTGAGAGAGAGGCTCTCGAGACGAGACGTGGCGTCATCAATGGTGGACATGGTGGACGGTCGCAAGGTCGTATGAGGAATGCCGACTTCGTTACTCAGCCTCCCAAGTCGTTCTCACGCACCTTTGCGGCCGCGGCAGGTCGACAACCCACCCGTCCGTGATGCTAAAAAATGAAGATAAGAATGGGATCAGACGGGTTT